ACAAGTGTACTGGACACACACACACACATACACACACACACACACACACACACACATACACACACACACATATTTATTTATAAAGGTTTGATAACTTGTCCCCGCTGTTGGCCAATGGAGAACGACATTGTTACATGACGGCCATCTTGGTACAGGAAGCACGCCCACTCTTAACATAAATAAGAATGATTTCTTTACTATTAAAATAAAAATAACTTGCTCAATTTTCAACAGATTTTCAAATTTATTCTTTTGTTGTAAATATGAGACATGTTGTTATGATATGGCATAATTGACGTTCCTGTAGAAATAACTTTATGCATGGGTAAAGCAATAGCAATATATAAACAAAAGATGTTTAGATTATATTTACACGTATTTACAAATAAAAAATATAAAGCAAAATTATACAAGAGTTCATAAAAATAGTATTAGCACTGATGTCCTACTTATTTCAGCAATGCCAAGCCATATTCTRCATGTGTTACAACAGTGTGGCTTCATAGTAAAGGAGTGCAGGTACTAGACTGACCTACATCCAGTCCAGACCGGTCTCCCTTTGAAAATGTGTGTTGGATCATGAAGAGAAAACTATGACAACAGAGACCCCAGACTGTTGAGCAACTGAAGTTATACATCAAGCAAGAATGGGAAAGAATTGCACCTACTAAACTTCAACAGTGTCCTCGGTTCTCAAATGCTTATTGAGTGTTGTTAAAGGGACAAGTCCTTTTTGGTATGTCTTGTAGGCATCAAATTCAAAATGAGTGAATATTTGCAACATTTTTCCTGAAGGTGAACACAATGTGAAACTAGCAACACTGTAAAACTGATTCACAGAAGAAACCCACAGCTCAGAAAGCTGCCTTTCAACATATGGACAATCAGATAAAAGCAGCCAAGACCAGCAGTGTTTGGGTTCAGCTCAGTCTTACAGACCAGCTGTTCTGTTTCTTCATTGTGTAGACTTGTGAGGACCTGGTTATGGTTTTGTGTTATTGTAATTGTGTTAGTTAAATTTTTTTCATTATAATAAAATAAAAAATAACCTAAACTTTAAAAAAAAGTTTTTAATCAAAACGTTTTTGATAAACTTAAAAAGT